TTATAGGATATTACGCCCATCTTCTATAGCGAACTTCTTACAGTGTCTGGGAACATGTGTATTAAGTTTTATAACGAAATCTTAATTTTTACTCAAGTTACAGCTTGCACGAACAGACAACGAAGAGGCCCGAAGGACCCGGAATTCAACTGGTCTCATAATACTTATAATTTATGTATATGCATGTTTACTGGTCTGGGATATATGTATGGCATTGTTGTTTGAAGACATTTAAAGCGGCTCTTGAGGACTCCAAAGTGGTTTTCACAAAGGGGAGACGTAGGTATTTATTCATTGTATATCCAAAAATTTGGCAAGATTTGCATCGCATGGGGAGGGTAAGTATTGCCGAATTAAAGGTGTAGTATGGTAAAAAAATTTTAAAACATCGAACACAATTTTTTTGCTAGTTTGATTATTTTAAATCCTTAATAATAATATAGAAACCTTCCTTTGACTAAGATGGTAACGGAATTTTTTTAAAAATGAGATCCGCCGCAAGGTGTCAAATCGCACAGCTGGCGCGTTGTAAACGCGTTTTTCTCGAAGCAGTGATTTTTGATCGTGGTACCCGATTCAAGCCAATCTCCTCGGTCGATTTGTTTAATTTTCTTTTTGGAATTTTCAGAAGAGACTTGTCCATCTAATGACCTATAATCATCATCGTTAATAGATATTTGACAACATTGTGACACAATTAGTAACTTTTAAAGATAACGTCTTCCGGTCACCCATATTTCCACCGGATGTCAATAAAAAATGTTTCTCTGTACTATATTACATGTAGAATAACATATGAAAAATCTGAACTCTCAAATAAAAATTTGTGTGGAAAAAAAAATTATTGAAAAAAGGTTGCTACCCACTTAATATTATTTTATACCTTGAACCAGGTCATGTCCATTTTACTAGATAATATGTTATGGTTGAAAGTGAGCAAGACAGCATATTTTTTAAATTTTTTACTATTCCTTGGGAGAAGAATTCTTTGATAGATTTGCAGAAGCGGTGTTGGCTAATCATTTATATTGCGGTCTCATAAAAACGGTCGTATCAGTTGATTCGGTCTGCGGTGTTCCCTGTTTATACTATAACTCGGTCGAGATGAGGGAGTTTCACCACACTCAGCTGGGCAGAAGAAATGTTAACAGTTGCGCTTGAACATATTCCATCAATTGGCGATATGGTTTTGTACCCGTATTCCGATCAAGACAAAAAAATATCTATTTCTTTTATTTTTTAACGACCTGAAATTTGAGTGCAAAAAATTTTGAAGTTATACAGTTTTATGTAAAAAAAAAAGTCCAAAAAAAACATTTTCCAAAAAAAGTTTTTTGTTGTTTTCCATTTCGAAAAAAAGTTGGTAGAAAAGCACAAAAAACTGCTTATTTTGAAAAAAAAGTTTTTTTTTTGATTTTGAAAACTGTTTTGGTCTTTTCGCACACAATTTTCAGGTCGTTAAAAAATAAAAGAAATAGTAATTTTTTTGTTGGATCGAAATACGGGTACAAAACCAYGTCGCCAATTGATGGAATGGCCCATATGTACGTACATATGTATATAACAAATCATCATAATGTTCTACAAAATTAAATATATTACAATAGTGATATACATATGTACATAAATCGTATATTTTATATAGAGAACGTATTTATTTATTTATTTATTATTTGTAAAATAATAATACAATTATTATTATACATTAAACATAAGGAGCACTAGCTACAGAGGCTTTCAGCTCACGGTTTTAATATAAACGACTTCAATAATAAAGATGGAACCTTCCATTTAAAAATTATTTACAAGCAATATGTTTTTATGAACTAAAAATATATGTTAAAAATAAATTTTAAAAAGGAAGGATAACTTAAATATATTTCTTTAACTTTGTACGAGATAGTATTTTAGTGATGTTTACAATAGACGTTATTTTTAATAATTCAAGAGCTTTATTATTCTGAAATATACTGCTCCTTGCTGAATTGGAGAAAAGGCATTCATCCAGTAGATGTGTTGTGGTTAAGGACGACGAACTACAATATAGGCAGGATGAATTACAGTTTGCATTTAATAAATGGGAATGCGTTAATGACATATGGCCAAGACGAAGACGAAGGCGAACAAAGGCTTTTATATCTTGGTAACGGCCTGATGGCGGATAAGCAGGTTTTTTGTCCTCTTGGTTGCAGAAGGCGTAGAGGTGTTGCACATTCTTCCAAGCATTAACTTTTATAACTTTTCGTTTAGAAGCGATTAAATGGATTATGTCATTTTTTTCGATGTAGTCGAAGACAATCAATGGCTGTTTTGCCGTCAATTTCCAGTAATACCG